TTCGTATGAAATCCAAACTCATGAAGTAATTGATCTGGTAGTTTGGTTATACTAACAAACATACTATTCATGGATAGCCTTTATTCTGAGGTGTAGGATGGCCAATTCATGTTTCACGAAGACTAGGCGTAATGCCTCACTATCTCCCCCGTGTGGTCCGCCGTGGCACGAGAAAGTATGAGGAACTATTTTAGGAGGAAAACTACCCTTCCTAAATACACAAGCAAAATAAGTAAGAAATCTATTTAACCTAACAAAGTTCTTCACTACACAACATAGTTTTAAAAACCGGATCTGACCGGCCGGTTGGACCACCTCCGGTCCGGCCCTTTGGGCATCGAACCGGTTTAAACTGGCAACCATGGGGGGGTTTGAACATAAGACCTCTTAGTCATTTGGTTGAGTTTCTAACCATCCAAGCAAGGATGCTTTTGTTACAAGTTTACTTATTCTTTTATAATATTTTATAATTAAAAAGAGATTGTATAAAAAAAATTTTAATTTTAAAAATATAATATTATATAGCTATGAATCAAACACAAAAGCATTGATACTATTGATATTATTACAAAATGAATATCATGCAAAAATTTCATTTAAGGTTTTTTTAATATTAAACAACTTATTTCAAAAAAATAAAATCAAGTCTTCATTTATAAAATTTTAAATATTCTTTTTCTAATATATATATATATATATATATATATATATATATATATATATATAGGATTGACTCCAGTGAGATAACACTTTATGGTGAGATGACACACTTCGGTGAGATGACGCAAAGCTCACCACATTACACTGCAAAGCTCACCAATGGCCAATGTAAAGCTCACCTAGAAATAAGGTAAAGCTCACCACTTTGAACACCAAAACTCACCTTTTTTTTAATTTTGAAAATTAAAAAATTAATAAAAAAATAAAATAGCAACACCGGTCCACCACCGGTTGTCGGCGGCGGAGGAGGTGGTCACCGGCGGCGGTGGCGCGGGGTCGGCGGCGGTGATGGTCAACGGTCAAAGTCTAGTTAGCACTAATTCTTTTTATTTTTTTTCAAAAAAAATTCAAAGTGTTGAAAAAATATGGGGAACTTTTGCATTACAGTTTAAATAGCTTTGTAGTTGTATTTGGTGAGCTTTGCATTGGCCAGTGGTGAGCTTTGCGTCATCTGACCGTAGCATGTCATCTCACTGTAAGGTGTCATCTGACTGGAGTCAATCCCTATATATATATATATATATATATATATATATATATATATATATATATATATATATATATATATATATATATATATATATATATAGGGAGCGTCTAAAATGACACCGATTACTTATACACCAATTGCTTACACCAGTTCATTTTAGGAAACTTTTTTACACTATTGCCCAATATATCTTTTATATAATGTCAATTTAATTATGGAAAGGTTTTAATAGCTTTTAAAAATTTTACGCTTAGCTTTCAATCTTATGGTAATATATTACCTTTATAGAGATAATTAATTTCACTTACGGCACATTTTTACCTTTTAAAGAGGAAATAAATTTTTATTACTTTTTATGAAAATTTTGGTTATAGACTAAAATATACATTATTAAAATAAATATAAATAATGTTAATTTTTTTACCTTTGATGTTAATTTTTTTGACTCTCAACTAAATTTGCACCCTGCAATTGACGTGATTAGGAGGACGAGTTGGGGTCCGAACCGGGTGGGGGTTTACTGGGGGGCTAGAAGGGTTAGAAACTATCAATTGGGTGAGTGACTTCCGTAGCCACTCTTTTTGAGTGGCTCTAGAACCCATCCGTTGATATAGTTATGTTATATTAATATTCCATCCGTTCGGAAATGACTTTCTCATTTGACTTTTCGTGGTCTCCAATTTATAATTTGACCATTAGTATCTACATTTATACATAGATATATTTTAT